TGTTGTCTCAAAATAAGAAGTAACCCATTTAAGACAGATGGGGAGGAATATCTTCCCTCAGGTGATGATGAATCTTTGCAATTCTCCACCCTACAGGATAGCAGAGTTTCAGTCAAGTTTATAGCTAAGGGACATGGGCACAGTGCAGGAAAATGGCATGGAAGCAGAAGATAACCATGATCCAGTTGAATGGTGAAACAGATCCAAGGTGTTAAATGGTCTTCTCCTGCTCCTATTTCTTATGTTCTTATGAAGGAACAAAGCAGGATGGGACAGAGAAATCAGCCTGGTGACCAGAAACTCAGGATGCTTGCAGATGGAACACAGTCCTTCTACAAGAAGGGTCTAGGCCCGAAACGTCAGCCTTCCTGCTCCTATGATGCTGCTTGGCCTGCTGTGTTCATCCAGCTCTACACCTTGTTATCTCGTCTCCTCAATTTGCATTTGGTCATCCTGAAGTAAAAAGGGCTTCATGAGCAGCAGTGAATTCTGTAAAAGTAAACTGTGTATCACCAAAGGCGAGCATCGGGGCCCTTGGATAGTCAGAATGAGAATGTAAAAGGGTAGATGCTGCATCACCCTCATTTGTACTGAGGTGGTGCAGCCGGAAGGGGAAGAAAACAATCAAGGAGCAGACCAGGATGTTGTAAAGGAAATGGTCTCGTTCAGATCTGAAAAGTGAGAGCAGGATGCATTTTGTACAGCCTGAATTAGAGCCAGCTGTTTGACATCAAGCACTTGGAAACCTTACTCAAGCATGACAAGTTCCCTGCTCCTTTAAAAATTGTAGCAAGACTGGCTAGTGTTTGCTGCATTGTACAAAGCCTTTAAACACTTTTACAGTAAATTTTTTCGTATCAGTGATCTCCTAAGCAAGGAAAAGGGATTGTTTTGTCAATTGTAGCCTGGAAAGAGGCCTATGCAAAATAAGGGTAAAACAATTCTCTCCAGATAGTTACTTGGCTGCTTATGAAAAAGGTTTCAAGTATTCTGTTCCTTTCTAACCTAGGTATTTAATGAGGTGACAAATGAACAACCTCTCCAAGATACTCATCAATTTGCAAATGTTTTCATCCTTCTTAGCTGCACAGGCTACTCATTACTAAACAGTGACAGACTCATCTCTGTCATTCAGTGAACTGTAAGACATCAAGAATTCCAAGTTGAATACCTTTTCCATTTGCATCGGTCAAATGTTTTGTTAAAACAAAAGTTTTGTTAGAAAAATCTAAAATAAAAAACTACTGACAAAGTACAGTACCCAGTAAAAGAGGCTTCATGCCCATCAGGATTATAGGTGGTACAAATACAACATTAAAAAGGCCAGAACAGATATAAACTTCGGAACTTTGGACAGTGGAGAAGTGCTTCCCAAACTTTTTCCCATCATGACGCCATTTTGAGACTTAAAAACTCTAACCGCTCAGTGAGCGATGGGAGAGGCGAAGTAGTACTTGGGGGAGGGTATCAGCCATTGCTGTCATGGAGTTCATTTTTTTCCCTATTTATTCATTCACGGGACGAGGGCATCACTGGCTAGGCAGCATTTATTGCCCATCCCTAATTGCCTAGAGGTCAGTTCAGAGTCAACCACATTGCTGTGGATCTGGAGTCACATGTAGGCTAGACCAGGTAAACCAGATGGGTTTTTCCCCCAACAATCGACAATGGATTCATGGTCATCATTAGACTCTCAATTTCAGATCTTATTGAATTCAAATTCCACCATCTGCCATGGCGACATTCGAACCCAGGTGCCCAGAGCATTATCTGGGTGTCTGGATTAACAGTCCAGCGATAATACCACAAGGCCATCGTCTCCCCAGCTCACAACACCCAAATTTAAACTGGTAACCCCATTATGGATTCTGACCTCCACTTTGAGAAGTTGTGCAGCTGAGGCTGGAATGGGCAGCTTAAAATTTCGATTTTTCACATTGCTGTTACATAATTAACCACCCTCCCTTAGTTTAACACTATCCATCATAGGATCAAATTTTCATCAATAATGCTTGGATGCCAGCTCCTGCTCCAATTCTTTGCATGCAGAGCAATGCCAGAAAGGTCAGTCATCCCAGGGCAGATTTCAGGCTCATAATGAATAGCAGAAAATGCCAAGTGGACTACAGCAGCACTTAATCTTCACGTAGATCACCTCCCAGTCCTCCTCTTCGAATCCTATTAAGATATGCATCTATTCTTTTCTCATTCATATATACTTAATTAGCTTTCTCTTAGATGTCTCCAAAAACTGACCTGCTCTGTTTCCCTCAATTTATGATAAAGGTTTCTGCTGTATTGTTCTTAATTTATTAGTGACCATTTTATTTTGTTTAATTCTCCTACACAAGTTTAAATATTGCATCAGTCTATGTCAATCCTTAGCCTAGAGTGTGGTGATATGTATTGGAGGACTAAGTTATATCAATGGGAATTTACAAAATGCAAAATGAAGAAACATCAGCGAGTTATAATGGTCCAGAACACACTATCTGAAAGGACCGTGAATGCAAATTCAATGGCAATATTCAAAAGGGAATTAATAAATATGCAAAGGGGAAATACATATACTGTTATAAAACTGAGTAGGCCCTTTCAAAGAGCTGGCATGATGGATCAAATGACCCTTCAGAGATGCATCCCTCTATGACTTTTCAAAAGATGCACATATATGAAAATCCGCTTTAATATACGTCAATGCACAACAGCAGTATATCATTTTAAACTGTCAGAATATTTGAACTTTTGAATCTCAGCTGCCAAAACTTACATTTTAAACACACACAGCTTTTAACATCTCATCTAACAAAGAAACATCTGTGACCTCACCTATGCGATTCAAGGCATGGTGCACAGGAGAATTCACTCATCTATTTTAGACAGCATTACACCGGCATAACAGGTTTACTGAGGATAAGGTTTCCCCTGGTTCACTGCTCATTTAGTAATTGAGTGTGGAAGAATGCTCCTTTATTTTTCTTCCCAATGTCTTATCCCTGTAAATGTTGCACCTTTGCAGCTGAGATGATAGAGAGGGAATCATAATTTCTATATTTTTGAATGGGGAATAATGGTTGGGGGTAAAAGTTTCCAGGAAGGGCTATAAATCTCAAGAAAATTGTACAAATATTATAGAGATAAGCAAATAAAAATTAAAATGCTAATTGGAAATTAAGCAGAATTTCTGACTATTCACAGGCGGGTTCACCAATAATTTCAAGGAAAAAACAAGCTAATGTTTCAAATGCAGTCCCTTTGTCAGAAAGATTAGCTGCATTTTTTTTTAAAACAATTTTTTTCAGCCTTTCCAAATTTAATCACCAACACTCATTTAATTTCAATTTAGCTACATATGTATGATTTTTTTTCATAAAAAGATAACATCCTTCCCTGCAGGCTTGCGGCAAGCTCTTTCAGTTTATGCAGTATGGTTTGTTACATCATACACTAATACTTAGCATTAGTTCAGATAAACAGCTGTACTGTATAGAATTTACCATTGGTTGGAGATTTGATTCAAGCAACTACATGTCATTATTCCCTCTGCTCTCTAATGGAAAAAGCACTACGTTACTGTATCACTGGGAATTGGTGCTTTACAAACAACTATTAGCCAATGCTGTAATTGAACCAATGTTAGTTTAGCACACACACCTGCAACAGTCAAGATTTCCAGCTACATATAGGTAATTCAAGGATTCTGTTTGATGAAATTTTACACAAACATAAAAGTAACTGGAGGAGGGATTTGCATCTTTATACGATCCAGGAATAATTCTGTTATATGAAGTAACCTATATGAATAGTCAAATGTCAACAAGTTAGGTAGATTAAAGTAAGTTTATGTAGCAAAGTCCACACTGCTTCTCGGTACTAAACAGGAACAGTGCAAGCACAAGCAGAGCTCTTGGCGGGTTCAAGGAGCATCAGGACATCCTGATAGGGCCTAAAATGGGCAGGAAATGTGAGCATTATTGCAAACCTCAAAATTTGGCAGCTACATGTCAGCGTCTGAGATTGGGGCTTGAATTGCATTGGTGGGGGTGGGGACAATCACAACTTCCCTCTGGTCTTGACCTTCCAATCAACAAAGCCCCAGGAAAATGAGTCAAGAGGCCATAAACATTATGCAAGCCCAGCTCTGTTTCTTCGGGAAAGTCCGGACAATCCAAATCAATGCATCTTCACTCTTTTCTCCTGACCTTTTGCCCACGGGGAAATAAGCATTCTCTCAAAGGCAAAAATAATGAAAATCTAACTTGAAATGGAGAACAACTAGGCAAATCAAATAGTGGTTAAAGTGGTATAAAGATGAGGTTTTACAAGCCATTAGATAGAAGAGTGAAGAGAGTGAGTTATATTGCTCTGAGGCCTTGGAAAGAGTGAGTAGAGTGGGAGACAATTCTGATTCAAATGTTGACAGAGAGAAAATAAACTGAACCCTGAACCAGTTTTACTATAATTTCAATATAATTTTTAATGTAATTATTAATATTTTTCATTTCAATATTATTAATAAAGCCAACAGAATGTCATTTATCATGACGGGAACAGAATACTAAAGTACAAAGTTTACACTTCAGTTACACAGGGCACGAGATTCACATCTGGAGTACTATGTACAGTACCGGTCCCCATATTTAAGGAAGGAAGCAAGTGTATTGGAAAAAGTTCAGACAATGTTTACTAGACTAATACCCAGAATAGGCAGATTTTCTTGGGATTAAATATTGGTCAGGTTAGGCTTGTATCCACTGGAGTTCAGAAGAGCAACAGGTGACTTGATGGAAAAACATAAGATTTATACACAGATGGATTTTGACAGGGTAGATGTGGAGAAGATGCTTCCTCTTATCCAAGAATGTAGAATTAGGGGTCAATGTTTAATCTCTGAGGGTCAAGTGTTTTTGAAACTTTCTTCCTTAAAAAGTGATTGGGTAAATGCAGATAAGCTTGCCATCAGATCAGTCATGATCTTATTGAATGGTAGAGAAAGCCAAATAGGCTGAATGGCCTGCTCCTGCTTCTTGTTTATAACTACACCTGAGACTTATGACATCCATCAGCTGCCATAAGTTCTTGACATAGCACAGCACTCACTCTAGCTTCTTCTCAAGTTGTTTGTCCAAAGCTAGGTTTTTGCTGTGATTTAGCAAACAATCACCAAAGTGTTGAGATTGTTTTTACAAGTATAGCAAGGCAAACAGAACTAAAATCTACCACAGTCAAACAGGGAGGAGTGAAGCTGATGCTTTTGGGATGAAGCTGATCAACAGGCTATCCATCTAGACAAGTGCTGAGCAAACCAGCCCTCCCAGTCTAACTATGGTCACCCACTTTGAGTAATGCAATACAAACCCACTCATTTCTAGACAGAATATGTGCATAAATGACACCATCATTAAAGGTATGAGAGAAGTAGACAAGTCAAACCCTGTCCAAATCCTTGGCACTCTTGGGGGCAGAGATGGGTTCCAACTACTATATTTGAACACAGCTGGCCATTTATGCAGTCCCAATGTGCAAAGACAGCATGAATAAGCAAATTACTACACAAACTTCCATCATACAAATGACAATTATAGCTTCCATATTCAAAATCAACACTGAACTAATCAGGTGCAACAACCTACAATGCATCTAAAACTCTAGTTCACAATGTCCTGGCATTTAAATGGGATTACAAGCTCCAAGGCAGCAAATGGTGAATCTCGTTCCCCGCCCTGCTCTAGCAGGTCTGCTCCTCTGCCTCCATCACTCATCGAGGATTCATGACAGCTTTCAAGCCTCGAAATAGTGTCACAGTCAGAAAAGGTATGGGAAGCATTGCTCTAGCTGGTCCAATCCCAATCAGTCCTGACATCATTTGCAGTAATAAGGTGGCAGGAAGAGCAGAAATCAAACAAATCCCTCAGTAGAAATTCACAGAAAATCACCTTCATGGAATCAATAATATAGATTAAGACATATCTGTATTTGAAAGTTGCTTAAAGGCAGTATACTCAAAGATGACGTACGATCATAAGAATTGGCAGCAGAAGTAGGCTACTTGGCCATGATTTCCTTTTCACAAAACCATATTGATTCAGCCGGATTACCCCGAATTTTCCTAAGTGCCCTGCTAGAATCTGTAATAATGGCATCTAATAGCTTAACATCTGTCAAAGGAAAGTAAGTGACTTGTTAGATTGCAGCTTTGCTTACCTCACTTTATCAATGCATTACATTCAATTTTTTCCCAATCTAATAGAACCTTTTCCATAACTAGAGAATTTTTGAAATTTGATTAATGTATCAACTAACTCGCTAACCACTCTTAAGACCACAGGATTTGATCCGTTAGGATCTAGGAATCCGTCAGCCCATAGCTCCAACAATTTGCTCAGTACCACTTCCTTGGGTGATTGTAATTATCAGGAGTTCCTCCCTCTCTTCCATTTCCTGATATGCAGTTATGTTACTCATACCCTCTGTAGTAAAGACCAATACAAAATACCCGTTCAATTCATTTACTATCTTTTTATTCTCTATCATTAGTTCTCCACACACTGCTACAGGACTGATGCTCACTAATTCTTTTCTAAATAGCCATTAAAACTCTTACTGTTTCACATTTCCCAATAACTTTCTCTTGTACTCTAAATTTTCCCTCAACATTTTAGCCACTCTCTCTCATTGGAATGCAGCTATTCAGTACATTCTGAAATTATTCCTTAAAATGACTGCCACTGCAGCTCTAATGATCTGTCCCTTAACTGCATTTGACAATTCATTTTAGCTATACCTTCACACCATAGTTGTTTCTATTTAAATTTAAAATACAAAGCATGGACCCACTCTCTCCTCCCTCAAATTGACTTTTACATTCAATCATTTGTGCCGCCATTACCTAGGGCACCTTCACTACAAGGTCACAAATTACAATCATTTTCCATAATATCAGGTCTAGAAAAGCCAACTCTCCGGCTGACTCCAGAATGTTATTCTGAAGAACCTTTTTGGCATAATTTCTAGGAACTCATCTAGGTTACCTTTGTCCATTTGACTTTTCTAGTCTATATATTGATTAAAATTTCCTCCAATTCCTGACAACCTACATTACTGAACAAGTAAACAGAGTTTTGAACTAAATAATGGGGACAAAGGACTACCTTCCTGACAAGCTCCCGTTATTTCCTCCTTTACATTCCATCCTACCAGTGATTACTACTGGGGCACATACACCTTTCCCCCAGGTGATTTTTTAATCTTATCATTTCTTCACTCGATCCAAACTTGGTTTCCTAAATTTAGATCATTGCCGCTCTATTGTGCTAATACCATCATTAATTAACAGAGCTACCTCCCTTCCAAAACATTTTCTTAGCTTTTTGTTCTTCCTTAACATGAAACCTTCAATATTTAGATTCTAAACTATAACATGCAGCAGCCATGTCTTGTGACAACAACCAGAGTTTGTTTATTTCTATTTGCACTCAGTTCTGTTTTGTTTCAAATGCTGTTTTTTGATTCAAAGCCTGTGGTTTTGTCTTTTTATTATTTTAGCAACCTCTCACCTCATCTGTTGATTCAATGATCTCTTTCTATCGCAGTCCACTTATCATTTCCCACGTCTGTATCTTTATCTCTTGCCTGGTCTCCACTTTGTGGTTAATTATCACACCATTCAAAATTTCATCCTTTTCCCCATTAGTTAGTTTAAAAACCCTCTCAACTTCCTTAGTAATGTGGCTCACTAGAACACTGAACCCATCAGGGGTATAGACTATCCCATCAACACAGCTTCCCACTTTCCCTCAGACTGATGCCAGTGCTGCAAAATTCGGAACCACTTCTACCGCAGCAGAATTTGGAGAAATGGATGCAAAACTCCAATTTTTTGCCCTACTTCAAATTGCACGCGGCTCAGGTAGCATTCAATCTGACCTACGCATCTCTGCTTCTCAATTTGGTGGCTGGCTCCTCATACCAACTATGCAGAACCTCTTCCCTTGATCTGGTTGTCATTGGTACCTACATGAACCATGAAGGATGGATCAAATTCTGGCACCAGGCAGGCAACACAGCCTTCTGGACTCTCACTCTTTGACACAGAGAATTATTGCTATTTAAATGACGAGGTTGCTCACTCAATTTGATTTGATTACAGTCAGTGTGTTTGGAACAGCTATAAGCCAAGATGATCCTCAAAGAAAGGCCTGATTAAACATCCTAGGATCTCATAGTACTGTGCTATGTTAACTTGATGAAATCACAGTGAATGCAAAGACTCTCCTCTAAGCACCATCAACACAAGCATAATCAGTTAATAGGTTAGACTGGTTGTGTAGAAAAGGGTTCAAGCCATGAGTCTCTTTTCAGTATTTCAACAGTATGTTACCCTATTTATTGTTTATAGAATTAGAGTTTCCATGTATTTCAAGGGTATTAAGACATATGGAGCCAAGGCAGGCAGATAGAGCTACAATAAGGATGTGGCACTGAATGACAGAACAGGGCTGATGGTTTATTCCTATTTCTACATCTCAATACATCACATTTGTCTTAAACAACTGCTCTAAAGGTATATCCTGAACTTTATCCATCTTCCCGGGGAGCTGGTGGGACAGGGATGCTGTACACCTGCCAGCAATGTAAAATTCCCATTGTTGGTCCATACTGTTGGACTGAGAGCCTCAACTAGCCCACATCCAAAAGTAAACTACAAGTCCAACACAAACATTCATGGTGTTAATAAAATTATACTGGCACAAAATGAAACCATCTGAAGAGATGATGCTTTCCTGCTTTACAGGCAGCTTGGGTAGTAAACAATAAGTCATAACCCAACTGCTGACACAGCCACATTGATTATCGATTACTCACTGCTTGCTCTCCTCGATGGGAGATTCAGATGTGTCGTCGTGCTCATCTCGGGTAAAATCCTCACATTCCGCCTATAACAGAAATAAGGAAGTGAATGAGATTAACAGAAGAGCTTTTGCAAAATTTATACACATCATTTTAAATTTTATATGCTTCATTACCATCTGTGAATCACCTTCAATCTAGATTGCAGCATTTGAGCTTCTCTCATTGCCCTTCACACAGTTTAGCCTGTTCATAAAAGGATCAGATTTGCTGTTTTTCTCAGTAACTTTTCTAACACAAAGAACTTCTGAAGTTTGATTCATCAATGGCCTATTCTTCTTAATAACACTGTTGTGTTTCCACTTTGTAGGAAGTTTTTAAAAAATTAAAGCAAACAGCTGTATTTTACTGTATCTAGATGCACATTCCAAAATCAAGATCACTGCTTGGTTCAGGGGCATTGCTGCAATCCTAGTTACTGAACTCCTGTCTTGTTATAAAAAGCATTCTCCATCTCATTCAAGAACTGCTATATAACTACGGATATGTAGGAATGTTCAATTTATAAATAGAGACGTCGAGTACAAAAGCAAAGAAATTATGAAGAACAGCAATACACTGGCTCAGCATCAACTAGTGTCTCCAATTCCAGGCACTGCACTCTGCAAAGGACATGATTTTGGAGAAGGTGCAAAACAGATTTATGAGAACGGCTCCAGATAGGAGGGTCTTCAGTCCCATGAATCGACTGTAGAAACTAGAACTATTCTCATTAAAAAGATGATGGGGAAGAGATTGCAAGGCATTTCTCGACATCGTGAAAAGTCTAGAGATAGAAACTCTTCCCAATGGTGTAAGAATTGGGAATAAGAGGACATTAATTTAAGGGAGCGTGGCAAAAGGATAAACAACAATACGAGCAGAACCATTTTTATGCAGCAGTTGGTTAGGATCTGGAATGCAGTACTTGAAAGGCTGAAACATGCAGATTCAATCAAGGCTCTAAAAAGGAAATTGGTTAAGCATATGAAGTGAAAAATATTATAGGCTACAGGGAAATGGCAGTGGAGTAAAAGTAGCTGCTTGCTCTTGCATAGAGTTAGCATAGATTTGAGAAGCCAAATTGCTTCCTTCTCTGTTGTAACCATTCTATGATTCTCATCAGAATCTGTCACAACCTCAAATATTTACATATACTCTTCAATGCAATTAAACATCTCAAGGCACTACTCAAGACAAAATAATACAAAGAAGGCCAGTGAGCCACAAAAGGTCAAAAGGAGGTACACTGAAGAAATGTCTTAAAAGGAAAACAAGTTCAAGGGCAGAGACAGACGTAGGAAGGGAATTCCAGAGTTTGGGCACAGAAAACTGAAATCCCAACCACTTGTGGTGGAGAAATTACAATTGAGAATGCACGAAAAGGCAGAGTTAAAGAGGCAGATATCGCAGAGTCACGGCTCTGAAAGATATTACAGAAATAGGGAAGGACAAGGTCATGGAAGGATTTGAAAACAAGAAAGTAAATTTTACAGTCAAGATGTTGTTTAACCTGGAGCTAACGTAGGGCAGTGAACACAGTGATAACAGCAAACTAGGATAATTACATCCAACGATTATTCTTAAGATGTGAAAGAATTGGTAAACTGGCCAATATTCGTCACTGAACTAACACCAGAACTAGCCAAAACGTTTGCCTATAAACAGTGTTGTTTGATGCCAAGCTGTGAATCATTAGATAACTGACTTACAAAATACCTATTTTAGCAGTGTGGACTAACGTATTCCTCTGCAGCCAATGTTTAAGATCTATTCACAAACTTTACTAACAGAACAGAGGCGGTGGATTGGAACAACACGAGACATAATTTCAGTATGGTTGGGAATTTTAAACTATAATTGTGCTTTGCACAGTCACAGGGAAAGTTTAAAAAGAAAAGCATGAAATCAACAGCGCAGGCCAGCTATAGTAATCTGGATTTCCTATTTACCTTAGAGGCACTACAAAACATTTTAGTTGTATGTTAAAAAAAACTAGGATGGACACATTGGATTCTCTATCATACACAATTTATTTCCAACTGAAATTACATTTACAACAGAAACGGTGTAGAAGGCTATTAGTAAACTTGCAGTCAGTCATGGAAGAGTTATGAAGCAAGAAAGTAAATAATCCTAAACTTCCAATGACCCAAAATGCACACAAATTCATAAAACTTCTCATGTGAAGACTTTCCCGTTAGGTGACATCTTCCAGCTGCTTATATTCATGGCCAGCATTAGGATTTCACCCCTTCACAACAAACCCTTTCTCCTGCTGATCCCTACTGATCACAAGTCCCAGTGGCAAACAGGGTGACAAGTTATATTGCACTTGCACTGGTCTCAGTAAATAAACTGCCAGCTTAATGACAGAAATGATGTCTTCATATCTTAGCAAATCTGTTAATTTTACTTCAGGGCCTTTTATTTTAAATGGCCTTGTGACCTCAATTCACTTGCCAAATATAGCTCCAGCACAGAACAAAGCTGTGAAGCTGCAGCTATAGACTGAGTTTATTTAACAAGCATAGACAATTTAGTTCAGAATAACATCTCTCCAGCAAGAGAATGCCAGCCACCTGTCGGTCCCCAAGTACAAATGAGTATAACTTAAGTGTTAAAAATATTGTTAATCTTAGCATTTTGAAAACTCAACCCTTCCACCTCTTTGCATTTTACAGTCTACAACCAAGAAGAAAATACGACACATGTTTAATGTAGGTTCAAAGGTTTGTTCAGAGGCCATAATGATATACCTCAAGCCTGATAACTTGATGAAGGTATTCAAATCACAAGAGCAGCAGGCACTGCATACTTGCGCTAGAAGTACAACAGCTGTTGCCACTACATCTCACTATTCTAGCCAAGACAGACCGACCAGAGAGAAAAAGTTATACCTAAAGTTAGCAGTTTATGGGATACTGTCCAAGATTGATGTCAGCTGAAGCTCTACCCCTTGAGGAATCATGGAATCCCTACAATGTGGAAACAGGCCATTCGGCCCAACAAGTCCACACCGACCCTCTGAAGAGCATCCCACCGAGACCCATTTCCCTTACCCTTGATTTCCCATGTCTAACCCACCTAACCTAAACATCCCCAGGCACTATGGGCAATTTAGCATGGCCAATCCACCTAGCCTGCACATCTTTGGACTGTGGGAGGAAACCGGAGCATCTAGAGAAAACCCATGCAGACACAGGGAGAATGTGCAAACTCCACACAGACAGTCGCCCAAGGCTGGAATCAAACCCAGGTCCCTAGCGCTGTGAGGCAGCAGTGCTAACCTCTGAGCCATCATGCCGCCCATGATGATCTTAACACTTTAAAAAAAGACTGATACAACTGCAATTTCCAACTGCATTCTTTGGCCCACTGATCCCTAGCAACCTAGCCTTCAAATACATCCCTCCCTTGAGCACTCCATCTCATTTGTACTTAGTTCTTAGTCACTAAGTTATCCTATTTGAATTTCAGGGAGCTTGGACATTCTTAGAGCTGTTACCTCATCAGCAGTCAAGTCCTAAATTAGAATACTAATTATTTATTGCATTATGTAGATTAACAGGCACCTGAATTGAAGCTTTAAATATTGCTGAGTTGGTATATTTCCAGCAGCCACAAAGACAAAAGCAAGGACATCTTGCACTGGGAGATGAATTAGATTAGAGAAAATCCACAACCTCATGGTACCTACCCAATTTCACCAACCTCTTATTTTACCTGTAGCCAGTTTCAAGAAACATGTTATTAAAGCCATAAGGTACATCATGCCAATATGTGGTTTTGTACAAGAAAAGAAACAAAAAACGGCATGAAAGCTGAAATCTATTCCAAACTTTAGAAAGTAATAACATAACAACAGAATTGAGCTAACTACTGGAATTTCATTTTCCCGGAAAGAAAAGCTGCAAGTATAGGCACAAGAAGGGAATATATCCTACCCGAATCTCCGCCTTGACATTCTGTTCCTTGGTCAATATGTGCAGCTCCTCTGCCATCTTCTCCATCTCCTGGAAACAGAAAAATATTGGTCATTTCAGATTGTCCAGACAGTAAATTAAAGACCGGAGCCCATAAGTAGTTCGGCAGCAAGGTGCAAGAGTTGGGTCAGTCAGGTATGTCATTGTAGGGAGTGATTATAGGCAAGGAAAAGGAAGAGAGAAATAGAAGTGAGAAAATAAACGTGTGGAAAATGGAAATAAGAGAAAAACTGAGGGGACAGACAGGAAAATGGAAATGAGAGAAAAATTATGAAGGGACAGACAGAGGAAAATGATGAAAGATAAAGCCAAAGAAAGAGAAAAAGCAAAGATATGGCAGCAACTACAAAACACTGGAACATCATTAGATACTAAAATAGACAAAAAGTGGGTGAAGGGACCAACTCTACAGATCCAAGATGCATTGTATTCGAGTTTAATTATGGACAGGACTTGTATACCAGAGGAATCTATTGTAAGTGAACGGTGAGTGCCAAATCTTACAATGTCAGTTTGGTTCAATTGCTAGAAATTTCATGAATCAGAAGGATTACAAGATCTGGTCAACATCAGTCTTGAACAATAGTTGGCAAGTAACATTTACATTACATGAGTAACCCATTATGCCCATCTCAAAAAAAGACAGGACATAGCCTTCTATCCTTGAAATTCAATGAATTGCCATGGTTAGATCTAAGGTTTTAGAGTAGATTTGTAGCTTGGGTTGTGGATGCTGTGGTTGGTTAGCTCAGCAAGCTGGTTTGCTATTCTGCAGACGTTTCATTACCCTGCTGGGTAACATCATCAGTGCAGCCTCCGATGAAGCGCTGTTGTGTTTTCCCACCTGTCATTTAAACTCTGGTGTCCGTTGAGCTGGATTACCTCACTTCCGGTTTTCCTTCACAATGGAGTGTATTTAGCTCTCTGTGTATATTGATGGCTTTCTTAGTGGAGAACCAGGTCTCTAGGAATTCCCATGCTTGTCTCTGCTTCGCCTGTCCCAGGATCCTGGTGTTGTCCCAATCGAATTGGTGGTTTTCCTCATCCATGTGGATGGAGATGAGTGAATATTGGTCATGTCTTTTTGTTGCCAGTTGATGTTCGTGTACTCCTGTGGTTAATTTCCTTCCTGTCTGTCCAATGTAATGTTTGTCGCAGTCTTTGCAGCGAATCTTGTACATGACATTGGTCCTGTCCATAGTGGGTAGTGGGTCTTTAGTTCGGGTTAGCAGTTGGCGTAGGGATGATGTGGGTTTGTGTGCTACTCTGATGCCCCAGTCAGAAGATGCCTATTACACAAACGACACCAGGAGGATACTACACGCCCCGACACACTCATCACGCTACCTTACATCAAGAATACATCTGAACTGACCACAATACTCCTACGACCACTGGGCATCAGAGTAGCACACAAACTCACATCAACCCTACACCAAAAACCCACTACCTGCTATGGACAGGACCAATTTGCACAGCGAATATAGGAAGTTAGACAAGAGGTTAAAAAGCAGAACCTCAAATGGTAACAATCTCTGGATTACTCCCAGTGCTACATGCTAGTAGCAGTAGGAATAGGAAGATAGGGCAGATAAATGAGTGGCTGAGGAGTTGGCGCAGGGGGCAAAGTTTCAGATTTTTGGATCATTAGGATCTCTTCTGGGGCAGAAGAGAAGTGTTCAAAAGAGATGGATTTCACTTGAACTGGAGAGGGGCTAATATCCTGGCATGGAGATTTGCTAGTTCTGTTCAGGAGTCTTTAAACTAGTAGGGAGGGAGGGTGGGGGATCCTAAGTAGTGAGAATAGAGAAACAGAGGAGGATGGTTCTGAAGTTAAGGAGGGCAAATTAATTAGAAAAGGCAGGCAACACCAAGTCAGAGAATGAGGTAACTCTGAAGAATTAAACTAAATTTATTTCAAATGCAAAGGGTCTTACAGGTAAGGCAGATGAACTCAGGATATGTATGAAAATATTGGACTGGTACATCATAGCTATTACAGAAACATGACTGAGGGAGGGACAGGACTGGCAGCTCAATATTCCGGGATTTAGATGTTTATAGATAGATAGAAAGGGAGGCGAGAGAAGAGAGGGAGTGGTGTTTTGGATTAGGGAAAGTACATTTGAGGGATCATCCAGTGAAGCTATGGGTGGAATTCAGAAATAAGAAGCCATTGAACACACTGATCAGATTGTACTGAAAAGATGCTACTAGTATATTAAAGAACAACTAGGGAGAGAACAGGACCTCTTAAAAGGTCATTTATACGTTGAACCACAGGAGATGGGAGAAATACTAAAGAAATATTTCGCAACAGTTTTTTTTTACTGTGGGGAAAGACATGGAAGCTAGGGAACTCGAGGAAATGAATATTAATGTCTTGAAAATAGACCACATTAAGATCTCCAATAGCACCACCTCTGTAAAAAACATCAAGGTTGAATAAATTTCCAGGACCTGATCAAGTGCATCCCAAAACATTGTGGAAAGTCAGGAAAGAAATTGTGGGGACTCTAGCAGAGATATTGTATCATCCATAGCTACGGAGGAGGTGGCAGAGAACCGGAGGGTGGCTAATAGAATAGAATCATCGAATCACTACAGTCTGGAAACAGGTCATTCGGCCCAACAAGTCCACAGCGACTCTCCGGAAAGCATCTCACCCAGGCTCATCCACCCTCTACCGTATCCCTGTAACCCTACATTTCCCATGGCTAATCCAACTAACCTACACATTATGGGCAATTTAGCATGGTCAATCCACCTAAACTGCACATCTTTGGACTGTAGAGGAAATCTGAGTACCCAGAGGAAACCGATGCAGACATGAGGGGGAAATATGCAAGCTCCACACATACAGTTGCTCAAAACTGGAATTGAACCCAGGTCCCTGGCGCTGAGAGGCAGCAGTGCTAACCACTGAGCCACTATGTCATCCCTATGTTGTGCCATTATTTAAGAAAGGCTATAAGGAGAAACCTGGGAACTACAGACCAGTGAGTCATAAAACATAGAACAGTACAGGCCCATCGGCCCACGATGTTGCGCCGACCTATTACAGTCTGACATCAGTGGTGGGTAAGTTGTTGGAGGGGATTCTGAGAGATCGGATTTACATGCATTTGGAGAGGCAAGGACTGATTAGGGATAGTCAGCATGGCTTTGTGCATAGGAAATGGAGTCTCACAAACTTAATTGAGTTTTTTTGAGGATGTAACCAAACAGATTGATGAGGGCAGAACGGGTGACATTGTCTACTTGGACTTTAGTAAAGACTTTGACGAGGTTTCGCATGGTAAACTGATTAGTAAAGTTAGATGACATGGGATTCAGGGAGAGCTTGTCAACTGGATACAAAATCGGCTTGACTGTAGGAGACAGAGGGTGGTACTGGAGGAGGATTTTTTTTGAACTGGAGGCCTGTGACCAGCAATGTTCTACAGGGATCGTAGTGGATCCACTGTTGTTTGTCGTCATTTCTATAAATTATTTGGATGAGAATTTAGGAGAAAGAGTTAGTAAGTTTGCAGATGACATTGAGATTGGTAGTATAGTCAACAGTGAAAAAGGTTATTTAAGATTACAAAAGGAATCTTGATCAATTGGGCCAGTGGGCTGAGCAGTAGCAGAGGGAATTTAGTTTGGTAAAGCAAACAAGAACAGGGCTTATACGGTTAATGGTAGGGCGCCAGCAGTGTTGACGAATAGAGATCTAGCGGTTCAGGTACATAGTTCTTTGAAAGGTGCATCACAGGTAGACAAAATGGTTAAGATACTTAGCATGCTTGCCTTCATTGCTCAGACCTTTGAGCATAGGAGTTGGTACATCATATTGTGTTCGTACAGGATGTTTGTGAGGCCACTTTTGGAGGACTGTTTACAGTTCTGGTCATTCTGCTGTAGGAAGGATATCATTAAATTGGAGAGGGTTCAGAAAAAAATTTACCAGGATGTTGCTGGGAACGGAGGGGATCAATTATAAGGAGAGGCTGGGACTCTCCCTCCCTCCCCCTCAATGCCAGGCAAGTGTTAGTGGGAAAGCATTTTGGGTAGTGACAATAGCACAATAAGACATCAGGCACCTATGGAAAAGGATAAAGACGGCCAGGAAACAGAAGGTCCTGAACTGAGGGAGGTGACTTTATTATGTCAAGACAGATGTGGACAAAGTGCAGTAGGAGCAGCTACTTTAAAGAAAAAGTACAGAGCACTGGGGGGTCATTCAAAAAAGGAACAAGTGAGATTGCAGGGCCAACATGGTCCCATAAAGGTGAAGAGTGGGACAAGTCCAGAGAATCCAGAAGGTCGAGAAATGTCAGGATTAGAGAAGGAATAAAGGGAAGCCAATGGTAAATACAGAGGGATCAAAGGGTGGAAGCCCTAGGGACGTCTAGGAAGTGCAGCAGGTTGCTTTAAAAAAGAAATTAGGAGAGGGGGAATGAGTAAACTCTGGCAGGTAAAATAAAGGCAAATTCAAAAGATGTTTTACACGTATATGAGGAGTAAAAGTCTAACATTAATGGTAAGGAAACTTTTGAAAATATTGAGAGGTACATAATTAATTGCTACTTGAAGAGGCAAGGATGAATTTTGGATAATCAGCATGGTTTCATCAGGGAGAGATCATGTCCCACAGGTTTGACTCAATTTTAAAGACGCAACTACATGTGTAAATGAAGGTAGTGCAGATGCTGTAGTCTAAATGGACTTCAGTAAGGTACTTGACAAAGTTTGAAGGGAAGACTGGTCCAGAAGATAGATAGCCTATGGAATCGGGGTGGGGGGAAACTGGGCAAATTGGATCCAAAATTGGCTTAGCAGCAGGAAGCAAAGGGTGATGGTTGATGTTTCTGTAACTGGAAGCCTGTACGGTAGTGTATTGCATGCTTCAGTGCAGTTTGCAGTGTACATTAATGATCTAGACACAAATGCAATAGGTTTTATTGGTAAATTCACAGACAACAGTAAATAGAAAGGAGGAAAGCCTTAGACTACAGATTGAAAGAAAGAGACTGGAGGGGCAGATG